ATTATCAAGGCTAATTGTTACCGTATCCTCTTTTGTAAAGAACTCTGTAGGTTAGCAACCCTAAATATTTGAGCGTCCCTGGGTTATAGTTAAGGTTATGCTCTATGTTCACCTGAGACGTTAGCATCAGCCAGAGTGGTGGTTTCCAAACCTACGACCTCTCCGTGGGTGTCGGAAGAGGGTCTGTGGGGCCACACACTCGTGTCTGCATACTTCAAGACAACCCAGCATGATTTATTTTACGTGCTTGTACATCAACAAAATATTTATTTGCACAAAGCATTTCAGGGCAAAAAAGAAAAGTGAGAAAACCCCTGGGGTAGCAGATGAGAGCCAGGGGAGGTGAGGCAGGAACTGGAAGTTAGAACTGTGGGACATAGTGCTCTGAGGCATGGTGGGAAGAAGAAGTTCAGAGTCATGAAGAATTTAATCCTTTTAGAAAAACCGGGAGTTTATAAATAATGGAGATGTTTGAGGGTTGAGGATAGAGGACTTGGAACCTGGCCAAGGATGGTTGGAAGCCAGAAAGAGATGATCCAGGATCTGCGTGCCTGAATAAGAGAAAATGCAGACCAGAAAAGAAGGAAAGAGCACAAGCTGAGGTTTGCAGTCCTTTAGATGAGCAGGTGCAAGCTGGGACTGAGTTAAACCTAGAGAGAGTTTTGTTTGCCCACTTATCCAAAATACAAGCTGAGAGAAACTGTTCCAGACTTGGGCTGAGAATAGAAGTCTGATGACTTCTAGAAAGTGAGGGAAATTTACTTAATATACTGAAATTTTAAATTCATTTTTTTAAAAACCATCGATAATTATTGAGCTTCTACTATGTGACAGATACTCTTCTAAGCCGTAGAGATATCAGGAAACAAGGCAGAAAAGGTCTTTGTTCACCTGGAGCTCCTGTTCCAATGGAGATAGACAACAAAGAAACCAGTAAATAATTTAAGGAAATAAGATGAATGCAGACAGTAGTGTTAGAAAGGAAACAAAACAAGGTACTGTGGTACAAAGTGAGTGACTGGGGACAGGGGTAGGTGGATCATTTAGATGTAATTTGATTTCGGTTTTTAAAAAGATCACTCCGGCTGCTGCTTGGCTGACTTGATAAAACAGATCCTTCGAGGGAAACTGCTGACCTCATTTTGTCCCCTCTGGGCACCAGGTGACTAGCAGTCAGGATGTTTTACCCAGTCCAGGTATCTGTATTTAACAAAACACAAAGGAGCTTTGAAACTTGAGACTTAGCGAGTATGACAAGACTCGTCTTGGTTGTATGGCGTTGACAAGAGAATTTTTTTGAGACGGATTGACCCTGGTTTATAAAAAGAACTATATGCATCTTCTCAAACGTGTGCGGTAGGCCTTAGAAGTTACACAAGTGCTCACAGTTCCCAGGCTCTCCTCATTAATAATCTGATGAAAGCCCCAAGGAATCCCCATGCGGGTCCACAGTGGATCCTCTTGTGTCCTGTGTTTCTCCTGCTCAGATCGGATGTCCTTTCCCTATTCTGGTCCCCAGGAGGGGCTGTGTGATTCTGTGTATCTGCACTCCCTCTTTGGGGGAGCCAGTCATTACCTGCTGGCTCCCTGCACGCTCCCTGACAATGATGTTTAAACTGGGGGGGAGAAAAAAGGAACGAATCTTTTTGATGGGAAACCTATCTTTCCTGCTTGGTGTCCCCTGTGGGTTCCTTCAGGAAACTTTCTTTGTAACTTTATTAAAAATCCCCGGACATCCGTGGCTGAGGATAGCACGGTTCTTGGACTTTTCAGTTACGTCATGCTCCACATGCCCCCCCTAGAAAGGGGAAGGCAGAACGTTGGTAGGAGCTGGGTGTCCTGGAAAAGAATCTTTGGAAGTGAAACTCCTGATCCTCCCTTAGGTGGTTGTCACACTGAAGTACCAAAACATCAGCCAGTCTGACTGGAAAGCTATCTGTTCATCGCTGGGTCTTGCTGTTATTCATAAACAAAGATACTAAAGTTGTTGGATTGTTTTTTTTTTTAAGATTTTTATCTATTTATTCATGAGGCACACAGGCAGAGGGAGAAGCAGGGTCCACGCAGGGAGCCCGATGTGGGACTCAATCCCGGGTCTTCAGGATCAGGCCCTGGGCCAAAGGCAGGTGCTAAGCCGCTGAGCCACCCAGGGATCCCAAAGATACTAAAGTTTAAAGGACAATAGTCACATGTCATTGCTGTCTTTCTCTCTGGCAACCAACAAATACCAGCTTTTTTCCAAGTAGGAGAAGCCCAGTTTCTGAAGACAGTCAATTTATAAATGCCAATGGTTGGTCCTGCAAAATGAAGATGGTTCTGCTTAGAGTGACAATTCGTGGTCTTAAGTGTTAGTAAATATCATCTCACTGAAAGCACAGAATTCACAAACTCACAAAATTGCTCTTACGGATTTTACCATAAAACCATGTAAAACCAATGATCATCTTTGAACCTGCTGTTATAGGAGTTGGGATTTACAATGTTTTATTTTTTAAAAGAAGGGCTACGTAGATATTTCAGTAGATTCCTTTTCACATAAAGGATCACCGCATGAAGGCTTCAACCAGGCTACCTTATGACTGTCAAGATGGTCGGCTCTGACCCTTGTCCTAGTAACTAATTGCCCTCTCCGTGACAAAAGAGGAAAATTGAATTTCAATCTTAAAAATATCCTACCCGATGTACTATTTAAATGTTAAAACATGTTGATTACGCTCTCCCCAAATCCTGACAATTACTATCATTTGGCATATTACATATCTACAAAGTACCTCAAGGAAGAAAATGAAAACCTTAGGGTAGGATCCTATCTTGTAAAAAAAAAAAAAAAAAAAGGATTTCACAGCAGGAGGAAGCCTGGGTTCTGACAGGTACTAGATAAATTTAGAAGCCAGGAGAGATAATCAAGATACTAAGACACATGTTTTAATCAGTCACATTGGAATAGTTGCCAAGTAATGGAGCTCATTAAAAGAAGTGGTGTATTCCACGTAGCTGTATTAAATATTCAGGCATCCCAGAAGCTGGTGATAACCCAGGCTTCCGGTTTTCTGAGAAGTTTTTCCTACTCAGTGACTAGGAGCACCATCCAAAGTTCTTGTGCTTGCCTTCTACCAAGTTCTATAGTCCTTAAAGATAAAGACACAGGAGTAGGAGTAGAACCAGTTTGCAGAGTCCGTGAAGTGCAGGAGAGCATTCCTGTTATTGCTTTCTCACCTCATTAACAAAAAAGCATCCCACAGAATAAAAAAACAAAAATCTCAGCAGACTGATATTGGAAAACTCAAATTACCGTTTCCTTCATAGCCGGTAGTAATTCCCCACTGAATGCAGATGAATTTATATTATTTGAAATATAGTTAATTCAAAACACCGCATGCTTATACTTTGGAATAGTTGGTCCCATGAGGTATGAGCTCAGACATGTTGTTTACTTCCAAGTGAAACAAGAATTCTGATTACCTTTTAATGGGAAAAGAATGGGCTGGATGAGAATATACATAAAAACATCCTTTTCTCCCTGTTACCTTAGTGATTAGGTTCTTGATACAGACTCGCAGCTGAAAATAGTTTGCTCAGTTGAGTAGCAGATCCATGTATAGAAATGCTAGTGAGATACCCCAGCATTACAGGGTATCTGTGGAAAGGGAAACCTTCTTCCTGGGGAACTGTTTATTTACCATTTACTGAAAGTTATGGAATGCCCCTATCTAAACCTTACCTCCAGTTGTCCTCTTGATTTTCAGATTGAGAATACCTATACACCTCGCTTGATAAAATAATTATTTCCCTGTAAGTTTTATGTTTGATCCCTTGATGAGTCACTGTAAATTCAGATGTGCCCTTTGTGCTCACAGTGAATATAGCGTTGCCCCTCTCACTGATAATCAAGGAGTAGGGGGTATAAAACCCTCTCAAAACTACAAAGTGTGAAGCACTGTATAACCTTCCTTCACATTTATCCTGGGAATGGTGTTAGAAACCTAGAAGTGCCCGTTAATCCATTAATCCCACACTTGTGTGGCATGACTACCCCAATTGTGGTTGTCTGTCATTAAGCTGGTGCTAGAAAGTTGAATTTTTAGTAAATTTTAACAAGGCGAGAGCATAATTTATTTTAATTGCTGATGGATAATAATGGTCAAATTATTTCTATTAATTAATTGGTTGTTAATATTATTAATTAATAACAATCTATTATTAGATGGGTTGAGACTTACGGAGGTGGTATTCAGTTTCCTGGTGTTGACGCCATTCTGAATTTGAATACGGCATTTCTATATTCCATAAAAGGTTGATAACATAACCAGCTTATGGCTTACCTCACAAAGTTAAAATGCATGTGGAGGTAAAACAAGAAAAACTTAAGTTCTTGGAAAAGAGCCGATATCCAAATCTAGAAATTTTATATTAACATGAGCCAGCTATAGAATTAATTAAAATCTCCAGGTTGGTGGACCTCATGAGAACACAGTCTCATTTACATACACACACCAACAAACAAAAAACAACTGCTTGGCCAAAAAAGACACAAAGATGCCCCGATAATATTATGTGAGTTTGTGGCCATCTCTTCATGAACAGTTTAAAAAGATAGATGGTAGCAGAGAAAACTTGAGAAATGGAATTCAGGAAAGGAACTTACTATTATTTAAGAAAAAATGCTAGGTTATTGTTTATCAAGTGTTTTTTGTAACTGCATTCTGAGTAAGGCAATTTAAAATGGTGACTAAAAATAGAAAATTACAGAATTGCCAAACCAAATGGTTATAAATTACTTAGTACTTCCAAAGTGATACTCGTTTGTTCTGCTCTAACTCAAACCCATGACGACTTTTTAAGAATTTGTACAGGTCGTTTCTTTTAGGATTTAGAAAAGGACTCCTACTTTACTGTGTTTCATGTGTTACTGAAAATTAATAAACGAAATTTAAGTTAAATTAACATGATTAAACACTTAGAATGTTCTCCAGCAATTCATTGCTATTTATTTCTTGCAGGCTTGTACAGCATATAAAGATTTTATGATTTCTGTGGCCAGATTGATTCGTAAGGAGAAAGGACTGCTCATCGATGAAAACCAGCTTTCTTTGGAAATGAACAGAGTTATGGAATTGGAAAAAGAAATTGCCAGTGTAAAACACAATTTCTCTAATACATTGCATGGTGTTGCCGCTCTTTTCTTTCTCTTTCCTCTCTGTCATACTGTAAAGGTCAAAGGTGCAACTTTTTAACCAACCTGTAGAAATGCGTAGCTCAGTAATGAATCATTGACATGAAGAGGACCTTTGAAACTGTAGAGTTTTGTAGTAAGCTAGGTTTCTGACATCCGGGAGACATAGCTAAGTTTGACAAATATTAAACTAGATACACTGAATTACCTATGATAAGTGGCTTATACCAAAAGCCCAACTACTTGTAGCCGAACCGTTGTTGAGATGTCCTCGAGACTCAGGGCGCGTGTGATTGCTAAGTGTTCAGCAACGCTGTTTTAGTTTTGATGTGTATAGTGTTACTTTGTTTTATTTTAAAGTTTAGGGTGATCACGAAGATTGAGCATCCCTCTGCTTAGAAATATTGGTCCCTGAACATAGCCACATGGCAACGCGATGTCATCGAGGTCCGACTGTCAGGCTGGCTCAAAGGACCCGGCAGGAAGGGTTGTTGGCAGCAAAGCCCATAGTGTGTTTTCCTGAGTTCCCTCTAGTTTCACATGAACCTGGAGTCTGAGTTGGCACTTTCTTGTCTGCTGTTCCTCCGCCAGAGTCTAGAGTCTCGAGGAGTGAACTCTGGCTAAGCAGCATCAAGGTTACTGATTCAACCCGTGGTCAGTTTCCGTCTACGATCTGCAGGGCTCCCTCTGACATTGCAGACGGTCTGTGCTCCTACAGCCCCGTGCGCTTGCCACTGCCATCAGAATCCTGAAGACTAAAGACCCTGGAGGGCCATTTGAGCTTTCCTGGAGCTACGTGAAACCAAAAATCTCCAATTGGAACCAGACTTTGCTTGGAGCTGCAGCTGGATGAATGGCAGCTGGATGGGTTCCATGCGGTTCTGTGCCAGAAACAGAATTATTAGAGGATAACTGTTTGCTGGCCTGGGTTTCTACCACTTGCACCTTCCTAGACCATGTTCTCCTTTGATCAGCCATAGCTCTCTGACAGTTGTATCTTACCTCAAAATCATTTGTGTCTGTGTTTTTCCTCCTCTCTTAGACTTAGGTTAGGGTGAGGTCTTAGTCTTCTTTGAATCACCTGTGTATCTTTGGCATTATCCAGCTTATTATTCCATTCACATGTTCATGAATAATTTTTTTAAGCAGTGAATAAGTAAGTGACCTAAAGAGGAGATTGCAGCCATCGTCACTGAGAAATAATTCCCACATTGAACTTCCGCCTTTCGTCTCTCTTGACTTAAATTTGCCTTTTCCTATTTCCACCCCTAGATAGGGAATTGCTATTGCATTTCTTTTTTTTTTTTTGATTCAGTGAAAAAATAAGCAAGTAATTAAAACTGGATGCTGCTGAGTAAGAGTATACTAAACTGGTGAGGCAGCAGGATAGGAGGACAGTCACAGAAGTAGGAGTGCTAGCACTCTCCTCAGATAATTGTGATGTGTACTAGGAATTTTTTTCTCTTACTTGCTTTAAATTCTTGCAGAAAACATTGTGGCTTTTTAGGTTATTCTGTTTTTCTTGTCTGGATCTTAACTGGGATACTGAATGGGGGCGATGAGCACGTGGGAGACAGTATTTGAGAGATACATTGCAGATGACAGTGTTTTAGAAAGTTATCTTAGAAAACAATCGCAGAAACAACTGAGCCATAAGCCTTAGAAGGAAAGAGGCCTGTGGACACTGCCTATGTGGTTCAGCGATTGTGAAAGTATAAAAAGATTTTTGAAGAATCTTATACTTGACACGGTAGCCAGATCTTGATGATTATTACTGAGTATACTTAAAATCTCTTAAATTTCGCTTTTCTTTTTGATACGTATTTATTTTAACCATAAAAACAGTATGCAAAATAGCGCTTAAATTATACTTATTCCATATTCCTTTTTCCCTCATGTAGAGTTAGATTTCTCTAAAGTATTCTTAGTCCTAAAATAATTATTGAAAATTAAATCCATAGGCTACAACTAAACCTGAAGATCGAAATGATCCCATGCTTCTTTATAACAAAATGACATTAGCCCAGATCCAAAATAACTTTACACTAGAGATTGATGGGAAGGTAAGTAGCAAGTTCCATGTACTCTGTTATTGTGCCATTTCTAAACTTACAACATTGAAATACAGTTTGTTAAAATTCAGGGATTACTTATTTATTGAAATAAATTGAACTTCAAAATGATTTTAGATGACACCAGCCATTTGACTTCATGACAAAACCAGAAAAAAAATACGTGAAGTCATTGTATTATTACATACAGTTAGAGTGAATTTCAAAGGTAAAATTCCTTTCAAGGCAGCTATACAATGATACTAGAAACTCTTGTAGCAAAGGGTTTGGAAAACATTAAAACGGAAAATCCTCCTGAGAGATGATTATAAAGCCATTGGACTTGGACAGTCAAATAATAAAATTACTAGATTTCTTTTTAACTCCTAAAAAGGATAATTTGTTTATAGAACTTGCCATATTCTCATCAAGGCCATCTATCAAGATGTCGAAAGCAATGATGGAGAAATAGTACACAAGAAATAAGAAGAAAAATCCATCTCACAAATTCTATTTATAAACAGTAGTAATTCATTAGCTAAGATGTGATCATCTCTTTGGGGGACTATGCATATATCCTTGTGTATTAGGAAATAAGGCCAGATCCATGGGAAGATCTACAAACTGTCACATTCAGTGATAGAATTCTCTTTGGCAATAATTATAGTAAAAGAAGGGGGGGGGGGACTTTTTAAAGGCATGTCCTATTGTTAGGAATTTGTCATGTAGAACTGTCTAATATAACAAGGGCTTCATTAAATGTGTTTTGAAAGAATGGTCCAAACCATGAAGGGAAATCAAGAGAAGTATATAGCACTTAATAAGTGATCAGTATATTTATATACTAACAAGTGTAAAAACTTCTCAAATGCTGAAATGTGGCATTTCAGCAAGATTTGCATAATCTCATTCTGTGCCTTTTTTTTTTCCTTATATCCACCGACAGTTGAATAACCATAATTCCTATTTAGAGAATAAAAGATAAGATATCATGTTTTAGCAGCTCCTCCAAAGTCCAAAAATTGCATTCCTACAGACTCAATATTGATAGTTTCACATGTGTTGTTTGGCTTCCTTGGACCGTTTGTGTTGTGTCTATAGCATTCCTGTCCCTCTCCTATGACAACAGTGTGCTTTCATGTAGAGCAGGATCGCCACTGAGGTGTATTACTGTGTTTGAATGGGTTGCCTGTTATATCCACATTTAAAAGATAAACACTTTTTACTCATTTAAATTTTTGCATAAACAAAGGAAGCTTTATTTTAAAGCTAAATTTCTTTTTTCTTTTATGTGAGTTAGACCCAGAGAGATGCTATTGAGCTTGATTCCTAGCTGTATATTGTCTATGCCTGGAGGCTTTGCTTTTGCTCTTAAATAGTTGGATTTAATTGCAAGCGGGTCTCAAACTGACCATTGTGATAATTATATGGTGGTTCACCTGACACCCTACCCATGTCTGACTCCGTAACCATAACTGAGTCTTAGAACCAAGAAGAGAAATCCAAAATTACTGAATGTTTTGTGCCTGCTTTTTTCCAGCCATTCAGCTGGTCAAATTTCACAAATGAAATCATGTCAACTGTGAATATTAATATTCCAAATGAGGAAGAAGTGGTCGTTTATGCTCCAGAATATTTAACCAAACTTAAGCTCATTCTTACCAAATATTCCTCCAGGTGGGTATGTCAGAGTGCCTATGTCCTCAAAATTTGCATTTAATATCACTCTTTAGAAGCTTTGCAGCCTCATCTTTTCTGTTGCTGGGTGGTGGGTTTTTTTATACAGAGATCTTCAAAATTTAATGTCCTGGCGGTTCATAATGGATCTTGTAAGCAGCCTCAGCCGAACCTACAAGGAGTCCCGAAATGCTTTCCGCAAGGTGAAGAAAAAATCTCTTTTCTTAAGACTTAGAGCGTAAAGAGAGATACATGGTTATGAAGGCTTGCCATGTCCACTGCTAGAATGTGGTGAACTTTGCCAAGAGTCAACATGCCAAATGTTGGTTAACTTGCCTGTGTTTAGGCCATGTTGCCTAGGAAAGCCAGCTCTCATGGGCTTTGCCAACCTCTGGCACCATGATTGAATTGCCCTGCGAGGAGATACAGTTGGTCATTGGAGCGGTTCTTGAGAGAATACTGGCTTGGTTGTTTGTTGTGTTGAAAGTGATTGCCAGGGTATCTCTCTCAATTCATTTGACTTTCCGGTGCTTGTAGCACGCTAGATATACAGACAGATGGACTATACTGATGTAGACAACCCACTGAGACTACACCTACCTGGGGACAACCTTAAACGCTTTTATTAGGGTGCAACTTCATTATTTAAACAGTCATCCTATTAGTCCTGTGGTGAAGGGAGAGGGCAAGAGGGATTGAAGAAGTAATTTTGACAAATGTACTGGTTGGTGTTATAGGAAGGAAATAACTATTTATTTGAAATTTTTAGCATTTACCCTTTGAAAGAAAATGTAGACAAATTTTTAAAATTACAGAATATAAAAATGATGTTTTGCTCAATTTCCCGTACTTCAGCTAATCCCTTCGTTAGTACTTTTATTTGCACACATACAGTTCTTCTAAGTTCAGCTAAAACATTAAAAAAAAAAAACAGGAATGTGTTTTCTTGTATACCAGATTTCTCCCCTGTTACATAAGTTGAACATTACTTCACATTTATATTTATGCAGTTGGAACTATTATTTTTTTGTTTGGTTTTGGTGGTGGCGGGGGGGGGTCGGGGCATTTTGTTGTTGTTGTCTTCTAAAGCTGTCTGGAAGGATATTCACCTGTAATAGCCAAAAGTTCTACTAGGATATGCTACCAAAAATATACCTTGTTTTCGGATTGTTTAAAAGTAAACAATCCAATTGGATTGCATTTTGTCATAGGCATGGACAACATGCCTTGTGAGGAGAAGCAATGAACATTTGCAAGAAGTTAAGAGGTCATAAGGAACAGTCCTGTGGAATGTATGTTCTCCCCTACTGTGGCCATCTACCTGTGGTCAGATGCCATTTCCTCTTTCTTACCTCTAGGCCCTTTATGGCACAACATCAGAAACAGCAACATGGAGACGTTGTGCGAACTACGTCAATGGGAATATGGAAAATGCTGTGGGAAGGCTGTACGTGGAAGCAGCATTTGCTGGAGAGAGTAAACATGTGGTAATATTTTCAGCACGGTACTCTAACAGTTAGTTGTTTGCATCAGTGTGCAATTACAAGAGTTCATAATTTGGCTAAATTTTATTAATTGGCAGAAATTCTCAGAATCATAATTTGTTGTTAGTTCTTGGTCAATTTCCTCCTCCTCACTCCCCCAGGGGTCTGGTTTTGTTTATTTCTTTAATATTGTCTAGTGCAAAACCAATTGTCCATTTTCCAGAAGCAGTGTGTTCAGAATACCCACTCATGTGTCCTGTTGATCGGGACATTTGTAGAGTCTCTTCTATTAGCAAGATTGACCAAGAATCACTGTTTTCTGAAAAACTTTCAAAGTAAACTAGAGTTTATTTGAAATATTAAAAAAAAATGTACTCCATTTTCATTGTTATTGAAATGGAACTTAAAGTGAAAAAAAACTATTAAAATGCTACTTCATGCTTAATTGAATTACTAACAGTGATGACATTACTAGTTTATAAATTCTTTTTGTGATCATGGAAACCACTGCATTCTAAGGATGATCTTTTAATTAATGCATAGGTAAGACCTATTTAATCATTAGTGTTGATAGTGGCAAGATCCCTTTAAAAATATAATCATCCACATATATCCATTTGTTTAGATCATAGTTTGTCTATAAATTTGCACATATTAAGATATTATTGAGTCCTGCAAAGACAGCTTATAGCCCAATTTTTAAAAAATCTGTGTTACAAAAAATTAATTCACGGCTAAATTTCTTTTCTGTTCTTTTGCTTTTAGGTTGAGGATTTGATTACACAGATCCGTGCAGTTTTTATTCAGACTTTAGATGACCTCACTTGGATGGATGCTGAAACGAAAAAGAAAGCTGAGGAAAAGGTAAAAGAAATAAGTGAATAGGTGAAGCTAACTATTAAACAGTTTCTTTATAAGAAAAGGCAAACTTTTAAGGAAATTCAGAAAAAAAAATTCAAGGATTGCATAAAATGAAAGCAGTCTCCTTCAAGATGTCATGTTTCCAAGAATAGTTTTTACGGATAAACATTTATTTCTATAAAAAAAAGCTCCTACTCTCCATGTTTAGTTCAAAACTGAAAGATCCTTGATTTTCCTTTTTTTAAAAGGTGTCTTTAGAAAACAAGAGGAAAATCTTTTATGAACAAGTAAAGAACTGAAAGATACTACCAGTGGTTCATATTTTTCCTCTTTTTATAAAGCACCTCCAAAAGGACTCTACCAGAGCCTAAAAATATCCTTTCAATTTTTACCACAGATTTCCAGCTCAGTTTTTAAAAACATGCCTTATTTAGATTTTTATATGACCTAAGGAGAAACATAATAAATTTCTGTCAAGAAAAGGTAAAGTGATGCATTACTTGAGTATTACATGGTGATCTACCATTAAACAGATGTTGAGGGAGCCTTTTTTATAATTATTCCTATCTATCCCCATTGTGCACCTGTTGTTGGGACTTCTACTACCTTGCATAAGAACAAAGGTGTCAGATGTTTAAGGAAATCTTAGGTTTAAACTTACTACGATCATTTGTCTTGATAACTATATAAAACTAGAAGGAACATATTCGGTGGAAATTGTATATGCTTTGGGAGCAATATTCACTTGCAACCTGATAATTCCTCTACAGTTGAGGTGGCAAGAAGAACACACCATTCTTCAAACTGATACCGAAAGATTTTCTGAAACTATTATAATATGAAAACCAAGCCGCAGTCTAGTTCTTTTCTGGGATTAAATCATGTGGAAGGGCTGTCTTTTTCAGCTATCCCAAAGCTTTGGCTGAGTGAGATCTAGAATTTAGACATTGAAGTATACTTATCTTTCCATCACTGACTAGGTCTTCAGAAGTTCAGGCTGCATATGTTCCTTTAATGTTCTAGCTATGTGTGACATGGTTCTATTTGATGTAGCCAACTGGATTGCGCTAGATCATTTCCCAAGGTGGTATCATAAGCCAGTGACCCACAAGTAGTTCCATGAAAAAGAGTCCCACGCTCCAAGAATTTAAGAAACAGTTCCTGTAGGAAGGCTACCCTGGTCCCATCCTAGACTAGATTACATGCTCCTAGGGAATGATTTCAAGACATTGTATTTAATAATACTCATTACATTTTAGACTGCAGTAAAGAAGCCTGCTTTTGTCACAGTATTTACTCAAAGTATTTGACAATAAATCCTTTTTTATGTAGACTTATTTCTGTAGAGTTTGTGTCCCTTAAAATTCTTTTCGGAGAAATGTCTTCTAGAAAATAAGGAACCTTCGAGAGGAGGCTGATTGTAATGGGCAATGGTGTGGAAATCTACAAGAAAACGAGCTTGACCTAACTGATTTATTGATACACACCCTGTCTGATCCACTGCCGAAATACTGTGCTTATGAAACAGATTCGTAACATAATTAATTATTAAGAACAATGTAATATGATAGAATCAAAACTCAAATATCTTTGAGGAGAATGAGAGAAATAGAAAAATACAAATAAAAATCACTATAGGAAACAAACAGTAATAATGAAATAATAAAAGTAAACACATCTAAAATAATAAAAGTAAAAATTAGGAATGATAGTAAGCAAGTGGAAACCATGGGCTGGTGTAACAAGGAAAATCCTGCTCTCTGCTTATTTGAATAATACCATCCATTTAGCTGTGAAAAGATAGGGATACTGGCCTCGGAGACCAAAAGAGAACATACCAACCCCAGGACTTGATATTCAGAAAGAATATTAGCACTAAACCTATAAGCCCATATCTGTTTTCTCGGCCAACTCAGTGAAGTGGAAAGATAATAATAAGCTCCTTGAATGGAAGTTCTAAATATTACTCCTCCTATAAAATTGAAAAAAAAAAAGCTATTCAGGGAAAAAGTTCATAGAAGTACAATATATGTGGAACAAGGACTTGTCAGTTTTCATTTTGGGAAAGCTGGAGTCTACGAGAATAGGGTATTAGAAACTAGATTTCAGAGCTGTTTTTTTGTTTATTTTGAACCCCAGGGAGAAGTCATTTCAAAGATCTCTATTTAAGTGTTGTCAAATGCTATTTTTGTAAGCAAGTTATTCAACTGCTAGTCATGGACCAATTATAAGGTTTGCATTCGAAAGTTATATAATTGCCCTTACATTCAATGTTTTAACTTTCATAGGCCTTAGCAATTCAAGAAAGAATTGGCTATCCTGATGACATCATTTCAAATGATAGTAAACTGGATAATGAATACCTGGAGGTAAGTCTCTATGAAGACTGCACTAATGATACCTGGGGCTGGTGGTAATGTCATTTCTAGCTATGGGGTGCCAAAAATTATGTGAAGTAGCCTAAAGCCAAAGGTCTTGTTATATAAAGCCTTTTATACTGAAACTGAAACTATGTTTTAGTTCTAGCCTTTTGTCTCACTGGCCTGCTTCATATTTGGTTTTTGTTATTTTGGTTTCCATATATTCCATTGAAGAGTAGTGGATAAGATCTTTTTTAAAAAAAAGAAAAGAAAAGTAGTGGAAAAATCTGGTGTCCTTTAAAGTGCATCAAGGGGTCGACATCAGAGTGACGAGCACCAGGCAGCTCTCAGTCTCCTTATCACATCTGTACAGGCCTGAAAAGTCATGTCTCCAGTGTTCCTTCACTTTCCAGTTATTCCTCCCCTGGCTAAAAACCAGGTCACGTCTCTGTATTTAAAAAACAAAACAAAACAAAAACCCACTATTTGAAAACCGGAAGGGATTTTATTCCCCCTGGTCATGTAAACGATGAAAAGAGAACAGAATTGATGCAAGTCGCTACACTATTGATTTCAGACTCAGTTGAGGGTCCTGTTGCCAACCTTATGGGTCCCACAACGACTTTCAAACCCTGGTGACAACAAGATGATCCTCACCTACAACTGGGGATGATGGTGATTCCTAATCAATTGATTACTGGTCTACCATGGGGGTTTGCAAGCCACAATGTCCTGTCTCTTTCCATTTGTAGAAAGCTTGACTGTTTCTTGTAAATGAACTGCCTGCGGCATGTGAGTCCTGGGGGCGTTTGTGTCAGGAGTCTAGAAGAGTAAAGACTCACACACAACTACTTGGGTTCAAACCCCAGCTCCACCACTCACTAACTTGGGCAAGTGACTTAATTGTCTGCCTTCGTTTCTTCATCCTTAAAATGGTGATAACAGCCCATCTTCATAAGATTATAAGGATTAAAAACATGTAATACATAAAGTGCTGAGGACAGTGCCTGGTACATAATAAGTGCTAAGTAAGAATGGGCTCCAGTCTCACCTGTCATGTAAGGGTTAATACCATGTAGGAAGCTTGTCTGACACTTGGTTTCATTTGATTAGTCACAGAAAAATAGACTAAAGTAGTGATTTAGAGCAGTTAGAGCAGCAGTGACCTGTACTATAGAACGAAGCTAATTAAAATTAAATCCTTCTTTGATAAGTTTTAATGCTCTCTGTTAACTTTATTAACTGATGGAATTCAAGAACGTATCCCCTACATTTTCAGCCAAAATTTTGACTAATTTTTTCAAAATATTTTATGCAATATAGTTGAACTACAGGGAAGATGAATACTTTGAAAACATAATTCAAAACTTGAAGTTCAGCCAAAATAAACAGCTCAAGAAGCTCCGAGAAAAAGTGGACAAGGATGAGTACGTATATTTGTTTCGTATATGTTCGTTCTCGTTGTTGGGTTAGGAAAAAGAAGTAAACTTAGAATAATGTTAGAAAAAAGTACCATGTCCTTCAGCGGAGTGAGTACCTCCAAGAGCATTTAAGACCATACTAAAGATGGGTCAAAGATTTAACCAAAATTTAACATTTTTTTAAATTAAGGTGTCCTCAGGCTACCTCATTTCTTTGGTTTCCTCTCAGTGACTACTGATTTCCTCTACTCTATTTGTGGACAAGTTTTTCAAGAGCACCTTAGCCTAAGTAACCCAGAGCTCCTGCAAGCCTTCTCTGGGGCCACATTTGTGACATTCAGAATGGCCTTGTGCCCTCAGCGTCACCTGTTTTCTGTGGGCCAGTCATCCCAGAGCTCCATCCTCTTCCTAGACTGCCCCGTAACACTTCCCTCAACCTTGTGGCAGCCAAATAGGAGATAATGAGGGTCACCTTCACGTGCTCTGAATCTCTGCTTATTAGTGGCATTAGTGCTTCATCTTAGCCTTAACATCCATTCAGTCTTCAGTTTTCAACTAAGTGGGTGTGGCTAACGTATTTACCGACGTGTATTTGTGCACTTAGATCCCTAGAACTGCTTATGTTGACTTTTTCATGCTAGGCTCTTAGCTCCAAGAGAACAGGGGCTATTTTTTTTTTTTTGACTGTTCAGCACAGTGCCGAATAGATAGAAGGTTTATAGTTATTATATGGTCTCATTCATTTGGGGAATATAAAAAATAGTGAAAGGGAATAAAGGGGAAAGGAGAAAAAATGAGTGGGAAATAACAGAGAGGGAGACTGCCCATGAGAGACTCCTAACTCTGGGAAAGGAACAAGGGGTGGTGGAAAGGGAGGTGGGCGGGGGGTGGGGGTGAGTGGGTGACAGGCACTGAGGGGAGCACCTGATGGGATGAGCACTGGGTGTTATGCTATATGTTGGCAATTAAAAAAAAGAAGGTTTGTAGTTAAAAGTGAACTAATGAATGAGTGAGCAAATGAAAATAAATGTACTAACATGATTTGTGTGTTAACGGACAAAGTAACAGGACAGTGAGGTGCTTGGGTTATTCATGCAATCATTTATTCTTTCATTTATTCATTTATTAAATTAATATTTTAGAATACTAAGTCCATTGGTCATTGGGAACTAGGAGAATTGAGGGTGAGCTTTGATTATATCACATTACAACAGCAGAGGGTAAGAAAGATGCGCTATAGTACACTCTACCACCAGGAAGGAAATGTGCCAGGAAAGGCTCAAAGTGATGTGGGACTGCCTGATGACAGGCTGTTCTGTTCTCGGAGAAACCAAGTACAGGTTGGACAAAACTCCTAAATGACAATGCGAATACATTTCAATCCCTACAGAGCATTTTGAACACGTCAGGTGCCCTGAAAGAGAGGCTGATTTCTTTGGCTGACCTGAGGGTCTGTACTGTGGCAAATGTCATATTGTCTGGTTCTGAAAACAGGGCTGCCAGTGCCAGAGAACGTGCAGTGTCCTAGCTAGCAAAGGAAGGAGGCCAATGGGTGCGTAGGTTTGTGTTAGAATCAGTTGTGAAATCCTATGTCTAGAAACCCACAAAAAGTCATCAAAAAATATTCAGGAGGGTCCCTGAGTGGCCCAGTGGGTTTAGCGTCGCCTTCAGCCCAGGGCGTGATCCTGGGATCCCAGGATCAAGTCCCACATCGGGCTCCCTGCATGGAGCCTGCTTCTCCTTCTGCCTGTGTCTCTGCCTCTCTCTCTCTCTGTGTGTTTCTCATGAATAAATAATAAAATAAAATCTAAAAAAAAAGGGAATATTCAGTAGGTAAGTTTACCATCTGAGAAGTTTCTTACAAGTTTGAATATTTTCATCTCTTTAAAAATGCATATGCTTACATTTAATAATTCTCTGTACTGTGTGAAATATCTACAGAGAAATATTGTCAGACAGTGTCTCTGAAAACAGCTAAGATCACCTGCACCCATGTGACACCAGACGAATGTTTCGTAATTTTAAAAATAGTGCTTGAATTATTACTTGATGTTTTCTTTTGAAGTTAATGTAGTCCCAAGTTCTAGAATCATTTTATAATATACTGTGCGTTTTTCATTCCCTTTCATCATATGTGTTGATTTTCTCCTGCGTCCTCTTGCCTTACCATAATCACAAGTGAGCGCTGTGTACGACTTTTTTTTTTCAAGATATTATGTGTGTGTGAGAGAGAGCGATAGCACAAGCGGGGGGGGGGGGGAGGGGCAGAGGGAGAATGAGAGGGAGAAGCAGACTCCCCGCTGAGCGGGGAGCCCGACATGGGGCTCGATCCCAGATCCCTGAGATCATGACCTGAGTTGAAGGCAGACGCTTGCGTGAGTGAGCCTCCCAGGCCCCCCTACAGCATTTTAATGAACATTTCATCAGTAGCATGCAAAGCTCAGTAGAACTTTTTGAGTCCTTCTCATGAGCTTCTTGATAGTCAATCACAAGTGCAATATGGCTTGTTGGCCTTCCCAGCCATGCCAGGCTAGTTTCTCTTCCTTCCCCTTCTTCTGCCTGTGGGTTGAGCACAAGAGCTCTAAACTCTGGCTGCACATTCCAGTCGCCCGGGGAGCACTAGAAATAGTACCGAGGCCTCCACTTCACCACCCCTGCCTGTGATGGACTTCCCATGGGTGGGGACCCAGGTGCTGGCATCCTCTTTCATTACCACCCCCCCAACTTTAACTGAAAGCCCCCCAGTTGGTGTTTGCTCCTTTTTATTAATGATACTGTTCGTTTTTAATCTTGTGACCTTTTGTTTTTTAAAGGGTGATGCTTTAATTTGACAATTTAGGTTTAAAATTTAGTTTTTGTTTTCCTAACTGCCGGAAGCACTTTTGACAGTGATCGCATCAAATCCTCAGGACTGTACAGTTTTCTTGTATTTTTTGAGGTTTCTTGTAGTGACGGTTTTGGGCCTGTTTGGGACCTGGCTAACAGCGATGAAGCCACTATGTTTTCCTTAACTTTTTTCTGTAGAACCGAGTTTAAATCCTCACTGTGTCTTGTCCAGGCAGATAACCTCCACCGCTTGTACTTTGTTCTCATAATTTGTAGTTACCTCTCAGAGAATTATATTTTCAGATGCTCAGGTCCTCGCCCTCATGGTCTTGCAGGAGAAATAGGTGTCCATACCCACAAATGATGGGACAAAGATTAGAAAAACTATTGATTATGTAAAGTTTACATTGTAGGGTATTGTAGAAAAATGATGCATTAAGATTTCAAGGCAGCAATTACTTTAAATTAATTCAGTCAATTAACCAAATAATTAACTTCTGGACCTTTTTTTTTTTTTCCTCACTGGGCAAACGTGTATGCTTCTTGACACCTTCTACCATCATGACCACAGACTATTTGTACCTGGCCCAGATTTGTTTGCTGAGCTTCAAACACAAATGTCTATGTTCAAACACAAAGGGAACACTTCTGTGTAAGTGGTCCATTGACCCTACAAACACAGCATTTGTCATTTTGGGCAAAAAATTGATCATCTTTCTCCCCATATCCTCCTATTTCCCTGTATCTTTCAGCAACTTTCACCTTATATCTATCAAGACATAAATCAGGAACTCATCATCCTAGACTGAGCCCTTTCTCTCATCTCTGACATCTATAGTGATACTTACTTCAAATCCCCATTCAAAAAAAAAAAAAGACCTTTATATCCACCACCTGCTAATTAAATATTATATAGGTATTGTGAGAGGCTCTCCGTCTTACCATCTCCACTGTCACTGGCTAAATTCAAACATGTCTCATTGTTCACCAGAGTTATTACAAATTTTTTCCTAATCTTATCACCGAACATCTTACTTTCCTTCAGCTTATTCTCCATACTGTGGCCCTAGAGATTTTTTTAAAGACACAGATTGAGTCTTATTATTTCCCAATGAAAACCTTTCAGTATATCCCTGTTACCTGTCTCATGAAACAGGTACAGGGCTCTGCATTCCTCCCCCTAGCTCTCCAGAATTCCTTTAGATTCATCCTACCCCACAGTGTTGCCCAGAGCTCCAGCCACAGGAAGTACTTTAAGTCACTGCTCCATTTTTTCTTCCTCCTTGTCCCTTACCTTGGACCACCCTTTCTGCCCTTGTCCATTTAAAGGAAATCTACAGATTGTTGGGCTCAACTGGGATGTCACTTCTTAATCATAGCACCCCCTTGCATTTTTCTCTTCACCTCGCGCCTGCACTAGCTCTTGTTGGAAGCAGAAACCAAGTGCTTGTGTCACCAGAGCTTGAATCATGATGAACGGAATGTAGACCCTTCCTCAGTGTTTATGGGGTTCATAAAGGATACAATAGCTAGTTTGTGATCATGCTGATGAGGTTAACTAAGTTGCCAAGGTAAAAATCATCACATCCAACCATTTCACCATCATGGTTGGTAAAGTTATGCACCTTCACCAGTTATGCACCTGCTGCTCTTCCTGTTGAACAGATTCAAGAAATTGAGACAGTCAGAAAGTCTGTATGTGATACACCTGATGTAATCATTTCACTCAAAGGGCCTTCTGCCCATTTGAGCAGCTGACGACTGCAAAGGGCAGCGATTTAAATTTAAAAAGCTTGGTTCATGTGGTTTCTGAGTGCGTAGTGTTCCCAGAATTAGCTCAAACATTATGTTCTCTGGGCTTTTGGTGCCCGTCTGTAAAGAATTTCAAATATGTCATGTTATCAGATAATAGTAGTGCTGAAGTGAGGATGTAATATCCATTGGCAAAATTACTTAGATATGATCTATAGTAATTTACTTCCAGTAACATGATTATTCACTTAGAGTCAATACAACACAAAAACTCCAAAAAGAAAAAAATGTACAAGAACAACAAAAAAAGAATCCCCTTTCTTGTTTTTTTATACTTGATGTTATTCTGTTAGCTTCTCGGGACAGAACTTTCCATGATATGATTGTGATGGGGAGTATTTGTAGATCATGACCGCTGAGCCGCGGAG